TTTTACACGTGAAATCATAACTAAGTCACTTCCGCATTTATAATATTAGCATGGACGAAACATATTCCATTACAGATTTTACCATCCTTATGAACCAGTTGACGACAATTTGAAGGGTAATTCAGTTTGGTTTATGCAAATAATTTTGTCTTTATAGTTTGTTTCTCGTTATTTGACCAGTTTTAATTCTATATTGACCAAATAAAACGATCCATGGTGACAGCGTATACTCTATTTGGTAATATAACTAAAAATGCTTGCACAAAACGTAAAATCTACCCTAAAATAATAAATACTAGAGAACCCATAGTATGAACATGCATAGTATGAAACATAACGCCGAGGAAAACTTTATGCTTAAATTCGAGTAATTGTAGCTACATCTTAGAGTTGTTTAAACACTTGTTAGAAACTAATTTTAAATATCTCTGTTTGCGTCGTCAAGGTTCACCTACATTATTTCTGCTCTCAGTTTTAATTGATAACTTCTAATGAATGCTAAACAATCTGCTTCAATTCGAGTTAACATGTTGCAACAAAGTTTTTCCAGCATTGAGAATTAAAGAAAACTGTTGCCTTAGGCCTACTGATAACCAGTGTTTAGTAATTTAATTTGGGTCATTTTATTTCTTTTGAGACATCCCCCTAATCAAACAAATTTTCTTCGTGGAGAACCCTGAAAAGTTAGGTGATATCAACTATTTCATGTGGTCCATTTTTTGCCAACTTAACTGTCATAATCTGCTTTGAATTAGCTTAAGCAGCAACACCATTGAAAGTTGGTTAACATATTTCAACGTGTTGTCTGTCAGTCTCACGTTTTTCAGTGGAGTTTCTCTAAATACCTGTCCCAACGTTTTGAAAGTATGGATTCATTTGTCGAAATAGGTTGGATAACTCTTGTAGCTATATGATTTGGATAGCAATTTTCATATTCTCTTTTTGAACAGCGTATATTATTTGCCTTTCCTAAATCATAAAAATAAACTTGACCGTAACAACTTGATCGTTGAATACATAAACACTAATTCCTTCACTTATGTTTGGTCTAATATTGCCTCTAAAACTTTCAATAGCAAATGAGTTGTTGTAGCAAACTTCTTATTTTTGACTTGAAATGTCTGGATTGTGTTGGTAAATTCAGTTAGTAGACCTTGTATAAGTTTTCCCGAGGAACTGGAAACATAACCTAGAAGTAAACAATCCATTTGTGTTTTTTCTCAATTGAAGTAGAGCGAGCAATACAAAAGTTTACAATAAAAATATAAGGTCCGCCAAGATTTGGTATAATCTTACTACTTGAACTATAGTCAAGGCATTAAATATAGTTTATACTAAATGTTTTGAAATATCTTGCTTTGTCATTGTCAGAAGTAAACATTTCTTGCATGCATTCATTTGATCTGACATTAGGCAAGTTTATTTTACCACCGTGACAACACTATGTGCTTCGTACATTTTTTCACTTCCAAAGTGAGTTGCTGAGCAGAACCATCGATGTATAGCAGAACTGGCAAATATTAGGTATACATATCACCAAGTGAATATGTATCTGGATGGGTGTCTGTTAGACCAGGCCTATCTATTTCTACTCTCCTCATACGCATGAGATATCTTATTATTAATTGTCTCCTACTCACGTTTTCAATATTTCTTCTTTGAACTTGAGGCATTTTCTGTTCTTCCTACAAAACTGATTACCGGTTTAACTTGGTCTTAACCTACTGAATATTACAAACATTAATATTTACTCCCAAAAAGCTAATGAGTTTCTTTTTATAAACAGCTGTTTTTGGTTTTTAAATTTCTCCTATGTATTTCTTATGGGGAAACCCCGACCTTTGAGAGGGTCTCACGCCCTTCAGAGTAGGAATTTTAAAATTCTAAAACCTTATTGCAAAACTTCATATTGAAACGAATCTTTTGACACCTTAAACGTTGAAATTGGTCCACAAATAAGGGAGGAGTTGCGTTAACAAAAAACGGCTTCACGTATTATATATATAGATTCAGTTTCAGCAGGTCACTCAAACGTCACCAACATGAAACACACATATTACCCACTTTTTAGTATTCACATACTTCAAATTACAATAGGCTATTTGCATAATTTTCTGTCAATGATAAAATCACGCGTTTCTAAAAAAAAAATCAGATGAATATTGATTACAGTTTGCCGTTGGACTTAGCTCTATCGATACTATTACTATTGAAATAGGTAGTTCACTGTTTAACAAGTTGGCAAAATAATTCATCTTCTCATAATGAAATTTGTAAAATATTCTACGTATTTAATCGGTGGCGTTTTTCCAATGCTCGGTAAAACAACAACTAACTGTGTAGTCTTTACTTAACGTTATTCAAGCGAGTGTTTCCCTTTTCAATGTCAAGGCCTCCTAACCTACAGCTGGTTTCTAAGATAATTTTTACCCTTAAACAAACAGACGAACATAAGTTGCCCGTATAGTGTAGATGTGTAGTGTAGTTTGTGAATTATTTTGCAATACAATACCATCCAGTTCACCAAGTGTCAAGCAAAACTATCTCATTAAGTTGGTTCTGCAGTAAATCATCACAGAAGTAGCCGCGGCTGTTTATTTGGTCGAGCCGGTCCTGATTTAGTGGAGCCCATTCATCCCTCAGCACAAAAAACCTCCCCCGGTCCACGTGTGAGCTCGCGAGCTCCTCGACATCAGTGGCTCAGTGGTTCAGTGTAGCTGTAGCTCGGTGCTTGGTCCTGTGGTGTGCGGATAACTCTGTCTTGGTGTGTGTTTGTGTTGAATGTAGGTACGTACAAGCAGAGATTCAGTGTTATTAGTTGTTTTAGTGTGAATGATTTTTGTAAAAGGGTTTCCGAGTTTTAGATTTAAGCGATTGTGTGTACTTTCTTCCTCTGCGGAGATATATGTGTATTCTTTTGTTGAGTATAGGTTTAGGTATTTATTGTGTTTAGAGAAAGAGAAAGTAATGTAATTCCATGTAAACTAGTGATTGGTTAGAGTTTTGAGGAGGTATTTCAAGCTAATATTGTAAGAAGGCACCGTGTAATGAGATGATCAAACGATTGTTCAAACACAGGGTCGTCTTGCTTTTTAGTAGGTGGTTGTTTGAATCTATAAATCTTTCACAATCTAAACATATAATTCAATCTATCATCCCAGGGATTGTTGGTACTATCAAAAGATTACAAAACAACCGAGAGAGATTTGTACAAAACGAAGAAGATTTGTTAAACCAATTGTTTATGTAGTTTTGGGGGGAGATTGCTAACTAAAAGTAGGAACTGTATAGTTTGTAATCAAATGTTTCTTTAAATACAGCGTTCTCTTGTTTATCAGCAGTTTCTTTTCTGAGTTTCATGATCTTTGCTTATTATTTACTCTAATCTTTGGATCGTTGGAAGAATCTCTTTAAAAAAACAATATGACAAATTTTTTGTTCAAATACAGCAATCTCTTCTTAACTAAAATCAATTTTAATTTGAAACATGTAATTTAGTTAGTATTGTGTGAATTTTCTGTAATATTGTGTAACGAGAACAATAAAGAGTTTCATTCATTCATTCAATTGTTTGTATTTTGTTGGTTATTGTACTATACAGACGGTTTTACAATCTATCTACACTGTTTTAAATGTGCGGGAGTCAATGTAAACCAAATAACGTAAATTACTTTGTTTACTCATACACGAAGTAACATGTCAACAGAAACGCCATTGGCGTGTTTTTGTATGTTTTATATTTTGAAATAAGGTTAAGCCACAAACCTTGAAATTTAAAGTTAAGTATATTAGGAATTTTGTTTCCATTTGATTTGCTTACTACCTATATAATGTCGTTTTACTGTCACATGTATGGTTGCAATCTAGCAAAGAGAATAACATTTTAAAATCAACAATAGGTAGCTTAAAATCCAAACGAACTACATTATTTTTTGCGTTCTCACCTTGTTACAAAACACCGTTCATTACGATACTTACGTTATTTACTTATAGAATTTTGTCTTTTTAATATTTCCAGTGAATGATGTCATGCCTGTTATTCTAAATTGAAGTTTTCTTAAATTTATCCGTACATTAAATAAAATTACGTCAGTTAGGCATGGAATCGTGGTTTGAAACTTGTAACTGGTGCTGTACTGTATTATTTTTGTAGTCCAATTCCAAAACGTGTGATTTGCTAAGTTATTTCGTTATTGTTAATCACGTTAATTGCAAATCTCAGGTTTTATTCATTTGGTAAATAAAAATACTACTAAAAAGTTAAAATGTGGTGTACGGTACATAGCTATCAGTGTGAAACGGTATATTGATTTTTGCACGTGAAAACTATCTTTTGAAGAAGGTAGTTTTGTTTAAAACTGTTTTTTAGGCCTATGAAGATTTTGAAAGTTAGGCAAACATGGAGTGGTTTTATGCAGGGAATAAGCTTATTTAGTTCAAAAGAAGTCGGTAGTCTATTCAAACACTGTATTTAGCTAGTATGTATTCCATAAACCAACACCTCTTGTTTGCCCGTGCTATGGAAATACTGGGCACCTTTAATCTAGCCATTAAATTGATTTTTGTAATAAGGCGTAATCAAATTCTCCGAGCGTTTCTTAATAACAATACATCAAAATGTCAACCTATCTACAGAATTTAGTTTGATCTGCTCCATTTATAATTACGGAGAGTTGTGCCGGCCAAACTACGAATTACCGCAATTATGTTCTGAATTGGCCTCCTCTCTGCTCCTGGTTTGAAATAGCAAGTGCATCAAAATGTATTAAATTTTAGAAAAAATAATATATTTTTTCAAAGGACCAAGCTTGTTAGTGTGGCCTTGCTTGTGCCATTAAATTTGTATACTTTCCTAGCTTTTTTCATACCCATAATAAATTACCATTATAATTGTCCAAATCCTCTTACTTTACAGTACCATATAACACTAGTTTTTCGAACCACATTAGCCTATACTCTTTGTTCTACGCCAATATCTAATGACAATGTGTTTGTTTCAGACCAAGAGACAACGCACGGAAGGCGGCGACGCTGACGCTACTGATAGAGAACAGTAAGTTAAACAATATTTAATCAACTATTAATGTAATTTTTAATTTTCCATGAATTATATTAAGGTATATTGTTGTTAATACGTCAGTTTTCCATATGTATCCCCTAAGTCTAGTTTGCTTCTAGAAAGAACAAAAATGTATCTTCAGGTAGTTTCTGTAATTGGTTCTGCTAGTCTATACCCCATTCCATTATTCCTTTGTTCACCCGAGTGACCATAAGCCATATATTTCAATCCTTCAATCCTAAAACATCAGAATCCGTGACGCTTCATCATCATCGTCATCGTCATCATAATTAGATGTGACATTACAATCTGATGTGTGTCACCACTTGAGCATTTTGCACTCCCCTGAAACATCTCTAGAAACATAACCCAATATCTGCAAGCCTGATGGAATTTGCAAATTCCTTTTAGAGCTTCCTGAGGCATTGTCTGTCATTTATTCAACTTACCAAAGGAGTCAGTCCTTAGCTTTTTACTGGCAAAGAGCAGATGTTTAGCAGTCTCATCTTGATGACCTCATTTTCTGCATTGTGGACCGCCCACAAAGTGACCCATTCTGAATTATGCACTTTCTAAGGTGTTATTGTCTTATGATAAAACTTACGACCTTGTTGATGCTGTCCAGCTTCAAGGAAAGGATTTCCTTAGCAGTTTTCGCTGAGGGAGATTCAAAATAAGAGTTAACTCATCTTAAGACCTTAGCACGCCTTTCATCTCTTCTTGTGTTTATTGGGAACCTTAGAGGTGATAGCTTGCATCACTGTTTTTCTGCTTGTCAAAGTATTGTATTTATCCTTTGGAAATTGCAGATGGCTCCTTGTTGGCCAACTGATCTGCCTTTTCGTTAATATCAAGCCTAGAATTTCCGGGAACCCAGCAGAGTGTAACTTTGTTGAGCCTAACCTGCAGGTGGCTTTGAAGCATTCCCAAACTAATCTTGACCTAAAATCGTAGGAATTAAGGACTTTGTGGGCAGCCTGGCTATCCTGAGAAATGCATAAACATGCTTCCTTACTTTATGTTGATTTCTCATGCTTTTTTTCTCTAATTTTAATAACACCAAAGTCAAAATCCAAGTCATGAGGTCAAAATACTAATCAATCTTAGTAACAGCATAAAGGTACAGAATTGGGTTGAGATGTACTTTGGGTTGAGGCCCTTCACCATAATCACAAGGACAGTTGATACAACTCGTATGGCAATAAACATATCTCAGGTTGTCTCAAATAAAGACTTGTAGTGCTTGATAAATTTTGAGTTGAGTTTAGAGGCCTTTTTTTCATTCCACCCAGTCCACATCAACTAGCTACACTTTTATATACTTGCAGGACACAAGGAGAGGTATCTGCACTGGCGGGGGACGTGTCAAGTCCTGGTAGTGGACAGTCGGAGTCTACCTGCAGCTCTCCTGCCACCTCAGCACACCCCAACCCCCATCCTGCACACATACACGACTCAGGCAAGTAAAAGCCCTTCGTCTCTGTTGATGATTTTACATTTAATATCCTTTTACACTTTGAGGTTGAGGCACCTCTTTGTTTGGCAATTAAGTGGCTAAAGGTGTATTTTCTATTTCCTATCTGCTGAATACGGCTGCAGAATTTAGAATGTCATATGAGTTTTTACTACCTGTGTTTTTCAAGGTACAGCCCTGCTTAGTTTGGGAGCTAGGGAAACAGCTTTATCTCACTCTCGGGTGTCCAAAAACACAACCAAAATCCAGAATAAAGGAAAATCCGCCTTAAGAAAATTTTATACGTAAAAGTGAGAAAATATGTTGTGTGTGAGCAAAATCTTTAGCATTAAAGAGAGATTATGAGACTAATAATCTGTTTGTGAAACCGTACTGTCAGTTGAGTTAAAAGTATTTGGAGAAGCAAGAGCCTAAATACAGCTCAAAACTAGACTTTGTAATTCAAAGACATACCGAGAGTAATATACACAGTTTATCCTTAGTAGGGGCAACATGAATCAGGGCATCGTAACCCTGTTAAACATCAGAAACACTCTAAGAGTCAGAGCGAGTGCCCCATATACAATATGTGTAACCAACTCTAAAATGTGTGCATTTTATGGCAAAGCATAATTGTAGGTATTTAAGCTTTCTGTACATTGGCACCAGGGAGTAGGGCAAGGAAATGGCAGACAAGTTAGCAAGGCGATAACTCTTCCTGACAAGAACTACTCATTGCATGTAATAGACAGCTCGTGATACTACGAGGCATCTACTGTCAAAAATATCTTGATCATTGTACAGTAAAGAAAATTGAAGAATCCTAAAGCTGAGCTTTTCACACTTGACCCTGCAGGCCAAGAAAACATCCAAAGAACTTGACCATTCGTAATAATTCAATTTTTGAAAGAATTTCAAGTTTCGTAAATTTTTCTCAAGGCTTTTCTGGTCAAAATAAACTGTTGAGTCTTAGTGTTTGGAAGTGTATTTAGCAATGTGATGAATGAATACCCATAGAAATGAGTCAAGAGATTAACAATTTATTCTGGAAAATTTGCATTCTGTATGATATCATTCCATGTCCGACCCGTAGCCACAGAACATTGGAGTTCATTAAACAGCCACTCTTGGATTTGACAAGAGTTAAAATAAACCAGTTGGCGGCCAGTTTGGTGTAGTGTAGCCGTCACTCCTGTGTGATGATCAACACTTTTGTCTCTCTCTGACATTAAACTGCTATTTCTGCTCAACGTTTTCTATTTTCTGTTTGACAGTCATTTACTGGTGTACTGACTCTATGTGGCTAATTTACCCATTTGTCATAATAATATCATTTGTAAATGTTACAGGGGGTTTAATCAACAGCAATGGCGGGTCGTTACCACAGTACTCTCAGTCCTGGTCAAATGTCAACCTGGGATCTGATGTTAGCGGTAAGTGAAAAATCTGACAACCATCAATACATTTATACAAGTGTTTATATTCACCGATTCTGTTCCTGGCTCATAACTGTTCAAGGACTGGTCAAACATATTCATAATTAATTGTGCAAATACCTTTCTTATTGTAATCCTAAGATTAAGTAGTTTTGGAAAAAAATTGTGACTGTCTCAGACTGTGATTGGATATACTAGGTTTGCCATCTTCTTCTGAAGACCTTTTTCTGTAGCCTGTGATATTTTTCCAAATAATACCACAGATTGGCTCAACTATTTTGCGAACAAACTACAGTAATTCAATCTCTAGCTTTCATAAGTTGGTATTTACACATTTGTAAATATTTATTGGTAATCTGGAGAAGCCAGTAAAGTAGAGCTTGCCTGCAATAGAGAACTTCTCTCTACCAAAAGCTATACAATTACTATTATTACTAATTACAGTCAAATGCCATTCTATGATTTTTATTCAAATAATATTGTAAAATTTATTTAATCATGACTTTAAAAATTGTTTCTTACCATCATGGTATTGGTAATGAATTAAAATAATTTTTCCTTCATCCTAGACTTATACTCATTGGAACGGTTTGCCAAGTGTTAGTGTAAGCGAGGACACACATTTTTAAAGAAAGCAATGGCTGTTATTTTTGGACAGCTGTGGACAAACGAGCGCTGAGATTGACAGCGTAAGCGGACCCGTATGGGTCCACCTGTCCGTGCCGCGCTGCGCCGCGCCGTCACTCTATAAATACTTCTGTTGATTGTTTGCGTCTTTTGTTTTTATTGTTTGTTTGGAAATCAAACAAAGTGTTTTATTGTTAACTGTGGGAATTCAGTTGCCGTCGTTGGACCGAAGCCACCCGAGTCTCGGTTTACACTGTCAGAGTTGATCCTTGGTTCACTTAGTGGTATTTAATGCCAGATGCTTTTAGTGTTTAAATTGAACAGTTAAGGGGTGTCTGAAGGGATTGCTTTGATTTCCTAGTATTATTTATTTGAAAATGCTAACTAAGCAGATTGGAATAAACTTGCTGAAGAAACTGTTTTCTGTCTGATTTTGAATCGAGTACCGTACATATTAGGATAACCAATGTTTAAAAACTGTACAGATGTAATGAAAGTTTGATTTTACCAGTATTACAGTGATTAGTATTATCAGTTAGGGTACAAAATGAATAAAAAACATAATAGCCTGTACGGTATACGCAAAATAGCATGTATGTATACCCTAAACAGATGTACATCCCTAAAATTTAAAAATCTTTGTTAAAAGTGATAATGCCGCAACCCTTAAGCTGGGTTTTCCTAGGCGTGGAAGCGGATCGCAGAGAGAGGAATGCGGAAAGCGGACTCCTCTTGTCTTAGGTAATTTAATGCTACTGTTTTCTTAGAAGCGGAGCGGAATGCCATGTTAATCGCTTTTCTGCTCTCCGCGTTCCTCTAGAAAAAAACGGCTTTAGGTCTAGCCTGAAAAATGTGTAAAACAATCCCGAGCTCATTTCTAGCATCCTAGGATTAAAAAAAAAACCCTATCTCAGCTATTTCTATATTGTTTATCAATATTAATTCAGATGTTCCAAAATTTCTTGAAATTTTATTTAACATTTTTTTTACAGTTAGTGTAGGCTAAAATAAACTAATAAACACATCCTGAAAACCTTCTACTAGGTTTTTGTAGAAAGATTAAACTTAGCGGATGGATAAAATTTGTATCATTATCAAGACCATTATGACTAGTGGCGTAGTCGTAAATTATTCCAGTGCAGAGCGCAGCATCTTTTTAATGTCAATTTTTAAACTGACTTAAAACATGGATTGCCCGTAATTGTATATTGAATGTTTAGAAGAATAGCAGAATGATAACTGTTTCCATGTGTTTCTTCCTAACTACACCACTGATAATGAATGAATGGTCTTCGATTATCATTTTCCTGGCTAAACCGTTTATCATAATCAGTAACAAATCTATAAAAGCATCTCAATCATCTCACATTTATCTGCCATTCATATCTGGGTCGCCTTATTAGTTGCATCCCCATGAGGAAACATAACAGCTGTTCATTTTTAGCACATGCAAAGTAGAGACGAAATGAGTACATATTGCACACAGAGTATTTGAGCAATCTTAAAGTGTTTAAGGATAGTACAATGAGCTGACCTTGATAAGTTGGCATTCAATAATGGTCCTGATAAAAGGAACAGTAGATCTTGTCCATAAAAAAGCTACTCTGGCCATCCACTCTATTCCACACTCATCCTATATTCATATTCATTCAGGTTACAGTACGTCCACAAAGTAACTGGCTGGGTAGCTGAGTGGTATGGTTATAGCGCTCACGTAACAATCTAAATGTCGCCGGTTCGATCCTGAGAAAAGTCAGTAGCTTTTTGATAGTTGAAACTGGACCTAGCTGTCCCTGATCATTGGGCTTTAAATAAATGATCCTGGCTACTGAAACAGTTGATCTAAGTCAGTACAAAGCTACAAAGATCATCTCACTCCATTCTACTCTCATCCTTCACTCCTATTTGGCTTAAAATACGCACCTATATATATGGCGTCCCAATCTCGATTAATTGTTTATTGATGATGTTGTTGTCTTAGTCAAGTGACCAGTAAGGGATATTTATATATTATCTTGCAGAGGTTTGTCAACCTGTATGTTTTTCAGTTTTAGGTGTAAAGAGTGAGGTTTGTAGCCCTGGCAGTCAGGTGTTGACGCAGGCCGATCCTCTTTACTCCATCTCAGGTGACACAGCTACCTCCGCCTACGCAACCAGCGATACTTCCAGCAAAGACCAATACCAGTACACCTCCCCTACTGCACAACAGTACTATACCAGGTAACCAACAATGATACATTTGTCTTAAAGGAATAAATAACGTCTTGTCCAGCATAGTATATGTTATTAATTTTACAAAAAGTAAATACAAACTTATTTGTCTTATAATAGTTCAAACGTATATTTACACTTATACTCTGTTTTTAACAATATCGAAAATATGTGTAAAAGATGGTACGTGGTGATTGGTTTCGATTGGACACTATAATTGTAATCATAATGATGATTGGAGATAATCAAAATCGATCACCACATACCATGATAACTTGTATTTACCGTATTGTTAAAAAGTACCGGTATAGTTGTAAATATATGTTTCAAGTGTTATTAGAAAATTTATTTTCTACTTTCTGTTAAGTAGGAATAGACATCCCATTCCCAGTATAAAGCTGTTGCCAGTTCTAGAATAAGAATAATTTCAACACCGATGAAAAATCAAATGTAGTAATTAATGGTAGCCCACTTAGACGGCTCAAGTATGTAAATTTCTATTAAAATGAAAATCCAATACATACTTGAAATAAGGTAACAAGATTTGGACCTTTATAGCTTCATTTTCAAATCTCCAAAGATCTCTAAATTATAACAAAGAATATACCCAATCTACATAATTGAAGACAATATAATTTGCTTACACTATCAATTCTACCAACACACCATAGAAGCAAAATATCTTTACTTTGTTTAATTTCATATTCATAAAATATATTTTGCAATTTCCCATAAAATCATACTGATGTATAAAGATTGCTTTGAAATGAAAACATGTTACCACCATAGTGGGGCTGTGCAAAACAAGCCAATACGCCGATGCGCTTAGAGGTTTCTAATCAATCTATTATCAATATAAATATTTACTAACATTGATTTGCTGTTTATTAGTTGGCAAGCCTAGGCTAGAAGGCCCATCCATTTATTGTTGTTAAACTTTAAAGTTAATAAGTTTGGGGGAGGTTTTTTGATAACTTTTTCTGCAAGTAATGGAGGATGAAATGCGTAGGGTAACCCATTTGTGGACTGCATTCAGCATAAATTTGACTAGATAACCTGTTGCTCAAAACCGAGCAAAACTGTAGACTGTAATGAAAGAATAACCCAGCTAGCCCTGAGAATAACCAGTAAAAAAAACAGCAAGACTTAATCAAAGAGTCACTATAAAGTAATTTCTGAATGATTATATAAATATGAAAAATATAATGTTGTAAAAAGATTATAAAAGTAGTATACAATATTTAAATATAGATCCGCTCTCGTAATGCTTTGGCTATCCTATCTCTTATGTACTGTAGGTGGGTGCCCTCTATGAGAAAGTAGATGTCAACCACACACTGTAGTGAGCTTTTAGCCTTTTTGTAGCAAGCTAAATCGCTCTAAAAATTCAGTTCTATTCTAGCTCCTGAGCTGTTCAATTCAACATAATAAATAGGTTACATACCTTATAAATCCGACAAACAGCTCAAAATTCTGTTTTTAGGCGTGTTTAAATTAGGGGCGCCAACGAAAGTCTCCGGTTGGGAACATAAGAGGGTAAGCAAGTGGATCTAACGACGGATCTAGAACGGATTCGCGTTTAACATTATTAGTTTTTGGAAAAGACCTAAGATTTATTTGGCCAGGCTGTGCTCTGTTTCAGCTTTAAAAGTAGCTGCGACATTTATTTAAGTAGCATAAGCACATTAATCTCACTTGAATCCTCGGACCTCTCGTCCCTACACATTTCTGTCACAATTTTAAAAGATTAGGCAAATAGGTTGGCAATGTGACCTTATTCCCGCATATTTTTTCCTGGCATTTTTGTTTGAATTGTGTTTCAAGCGCTGTTGGGTTCCAGTGCCAACGCCGTACTCAACTATACATCTGTGCGGGTTAACGATGACCTTCTAAAGGTAATAGATTATTTACTCGGAGATAACACGTGTCATGGATCTATAAATTGTAGATACACTGTGTGATCCTCTCATCTAAATGAGCTAAAGGTGAAATTTAATTGACGAATTTTAGATCTAAGCCTCGCAGCCCTTTTTTCAGATTGGGAGTTTCCAATAACTTCCTGAAAGTATAGTGAATTCTGCAGATGAGGTAAACGGGTCTTTCATTTATAGTAACAATGAGTGAAAATTGAACTGCTTCGGTCTTTCCTTTGCTTAAAATGTACTGCCACTCTGTATCCTTCAAATGTTCCATTGGTAGGTTGATGCAAGCGGTAACGTCCGCGTTCCCTCCAGCCACTCACAGTTCTTCATCTTACTGGTGGCTTAGTTTTAAATTGAGATAAAAATACGTTAGTTAACCAAACAACAGAAAACACTACAACGGATTTTCGATATACATTGTAAATTACGTGATACGGTAATGCAACACCCAGGTAACTGCACTAAGAATAATCACTTTCAAACATTCACTTGTTCATCACACCGAACTGTAACCAAAACTACATGGTAATTCAGTAAAATAAGAAGCAAGTTAAATTAATTCAAATATTACGAACAATGTGTTATCAAGTTTTGCTAGGAAACTATTTTATGAACCAGACTTATTTACAGACGTTTAAATGAAAATATCTATTCCGGCTTTGCTCTGGAAGTTTTAAGTCCTGCAGTCTGTGGTTAACCTTAAAAACTATTTCAAACTACGTCCATATGTTATTTGTAAACAAAGGGAAATGAGTTTGATCTAATGTCAACAGATAGCGCCTCCTTCCAAACTTTAGCCCTTAAGTGTACTTAAGTGGTTCCCTTTCTTAATATTCTGAGACGTATTTGCACATCTACGTGAAAATACCTTTAATTTGACACCTCAAAAGTTAAAATCCGTCAAACCGTTATTGAGTTATGACTGTGAAAAGAAACCTGCTTGCGTATTAATATATAGATACTGATGTGTAATTTTACAGTATGCAGCAAGCGTATAACAACCAGAGCTCTTCAGCATACATGAATTCCAGCTTCTACAACTCTACAGCTTACTCACCGTCCGCTTACCCAGCCACCAACAGTGAGTAACGTAACCATTCACTAACATTGTTATAAGTAATGTTGGTACCAGTGTTGTTTTAATTTCAACCCTATAAGCTCCAGTTAGCTCAGGTCAATGTTATATCGAGTGCAAGAGTAACATAATTCAACTTTCACTTACATCAAGTGTGGAGCATAGGCCTACACCAATCTCCAAAAAATCATACAAAACTTCACTTGACTGCAACTTAGGAGTGGAGTTAAGAACTATTACCCTTGGGTTTTTGGTTTACTTATTTTGTAAGTGTAGTAAATTATTAAATCTGATCAATGCCAATAATTCCTAGGTGAGGTGGATTGAGGGTTGGATTACAGTGAGGTCCAATGTGTAGCTTATGAAGAATTCACATCGGTGACAGCAGTGGTGTACCCCCTTAAAACAAATTTTTTTACAATTTAAATTTTTTCTACAATTATTAAAAATTCTATTTTTTATGTCTCTAAATATCCTAAAACGTGAGTTTTCAGGTCTAATTTTCAAACATTTTCCGGGGGAGGGCTCATACCCCATTCCATACCCCCCCCCCCCCGGTGTAATCCCCCCCTCAGGGTCATCCTAGTTTCAACTATGTGTGGCAGAGTTTGATAGGAGGGGCTCACTTGTATAAACGGTGCACGGTCTTGGATATTAAAAGCATGAGAGAATTCTTGTTGAGTTGCACCCAAAATCAGGCATTTTACTATTTTTTGCTTTTCCTTATTTTGTTTGCTTGTGTCCACTAAAATTTGTTTTTTTTTTACTATTTTCATTTTTCTGTTTGTAAGATAATAGAGATATGATTCAAATAGGCATTTTTAAATTAATGGAAAAATCCATTGGGCTTAAAATTGTAAACACTTGTAATCTGTTTGGCAAAACAATTAATCCTTAACATTCGATCTTTTATTAAGGTAAGTTGAATGTAAAAACAACTGGTAATATCACCCCCTCAGCAAACCTATTATTGCTGACTAAGCGGATTTCAATTTGCCTGATTTTATTTTCACTTTAATATTTCTTATAAATGTCAGATTGATTCCCTATTAAAATAACATAAGATTTAACAAGTACTTAGTTTTGATGCTACAGGAAGGGTAACAAAGTGTGTGTTTTTTTAGTAAAATTTTAATAGTTGAGGAATAAAAGAAATACATTTGCCAAGTTTGCTCAAAATATATCAATACAACAATTTACTTATTCCTCATAAAAAACATGGGAATTTTTAATTTACAATTTTTGATATACAAAAACAATTCAGGATACTAAATTATTTGATGTTATTAAGCTCTACAAAATGATTTAGAAAGATATTGAGAAATTAATTAGAAATGTCTTCTTGGCGTTTCATTTGAAGGTCGTCAAAATCAATAAAATATAGGAAATGCACACACAAAGCCATAAAAAACATAAACATTGAGGAGGCAAAAACGAGCAAATACTACTCTTGATATATGGGACACAACATGCTCGACTCTAGTCTAGACATAACCGGCCTGAAGACGACACCAATGTTGAATTGAAACTAGTTGCCATGCTGCAACAGATAACATTATAGTAGGTATTTACATAAATTCTTACACAATTTGTATACTTTCTCCCTTTTTCTCATTTTAATTTTGTATAAAAATATACAATCTAAGGGTTGTTCTTTTACAGACGGAAGGATGTTGAACCAGTGCAGTAAAGGGTCCAATGGGACCACCAACGGTTACCTCAACTCCTACCCTGGCTACACACAGACCAACTCTGCGGCCTACGCAGCGGCTGCGTACTCGGCTGGCTACAACTCACACAACTATTCCTCACAACAGGTAACTACTATCTCAGAGTTTTAGATAAAAAATACCTCATCTAGGTACAAATTATGGCACATCATAGAGGAGGAGTTCTAGAATATAGAAAAAGTGTATGTCATCAAACAATGTCTATGTCGCTTCGCTTTTAGATAAGAGACATTTTGTTTCACAATTCACTTATTTTATAGCATTGGATGAAAAACAATTGAGAGCCGTGTAAACTCTCTCCTGTTTAGACTTCTCACCACTGAATTTTATTGATTTTAAAATACTATTATTGATTGAAAGGAATGTTCTAAAATGCATAGAACTTTTTGGTAAATGTTACAAGTCAAACAACAACAACAAAAATATAATAAAGGTTGATAAACTACTGAGAGGTATCTAAAAATAATTTGAAATTACCCTACAACAAATACTAACTCTAACAACAATATATAACAATAATTAACCCTATAACAATTTCTCTTAACGATAAGGTTTTTGTGGCCAATTTTGTTTCATAGTTTAATTAATTGTTTTTATTGCCTTAATTTCATTATTCTAATCCAAATTTTGCTACAGAAAAACAATGATGATTGTCAAAAACTTCAATGACAAAAACATCAGTCAGTAACCATCAATGTAAAAAAAACATCATTGTATCAAAAACATAGGTTATCAATACTCATTAATTTACGTAATGCATGTGATCTAGTCGCTAGAATTATCGCTCGCGTGAACTGGTATGTCGGTGGGTCCCGAGAATTCAAATCACAACCTAGTTGTTAGATTTTTCGCTCGTGTGAACTGAGCATTAATGTCAGTCTAGGATTAATGTAATTTCTCCCACTTACACTGTTCACATTGTTGTTGCAGGATTACAGTGGCTACAGTAGCAGCTACAACCAGGCAGCTCTGTCCAGTTACTATGGCTACACTCCCTACGTCAACAGCACCGGCTCCTCCTACCCCCTCTCCGCAGTCGGCCTGCCAGGTTAGTTTATACTCAAATGCAAAATAGTGTCCATTCCGATTTATAAAAAAACAATCGGATCACGTCCTCAGAGAATGTACCTCGTCATCGTGATCGTGACGTTCCAGTCCAGAGAGCTGAAACCCTACTGAACTGAGACTGTTTTAGGAATATGTCCTAGCTTCAGTTATATGATAGTAGCCTACCTAAAATATAAAATGAACTTAAGGAAAAAAGTAAATTTTACCTTGTTAAACTTGATATTTTTTATTTTTTTGCACCTTTGTACATCACATCTGCATGTTTTATGTTATGTGAAAGTAAATAATCCTGTTTTGCTAGAACAACTAGCAATCATTTTAAGGGGTTCATTATCAAGTTCAAGACACTGGAAATAATTTTATCTCCTTTGTGGCTGGTGGTTGGTAATGTTTATTACGAATGGACTGTAAAGTCAACTTGAAGAACAATAATTTTGCATATAAATATCCCATTCGTATAAGAGTGTACAACATAAATAAACTCCTTGTTGAAAATAATTCCTGGAATAAAAATGTTATGGATCAGTAGTTATTTAAATTGGATTTAGAAGGCCAAATAACAAATAAACATTTGTAAAAAACCAACAAGTCCTTTAGTGTGAGTGTAAAACGGAACATTCCTATGAATTCTTGTCATACAGATGGCATCCTTAGACAGCTAAAAGCTCAAGAGTCTGTTTTTTCCAGACTCACCCGTCCCATCAGAACCGGAGTCTCCAATAAAGTCAGATCCCAACAATAGGAGAAACAACTCTAGTGATCCCAACCGTAAGTAGTTACAGCTTACAAAAGTAAAACTATAACTATAACATTAATATTAGAAAGATTACTAAGTTAACACTCCGCACAATATAGTTGACTAGCAGAGTACCCGTCCTTCGTACGGGGTTGGCATATAAGTATAAACTTCTTGTTGGGGTGCTGCAGCATAACATGAGGTTTAAACACAGTGAACATGATTTTAGATTTAGGTTTAAACACAGCTGTATTTTAGATTAATCATGTTGTGATGGTTGCAGAGAGGATGGGTAGGGGGAGAGGTAGACGAGTGGTGGGGGGTCCTACGTCCAGTCCACCCTCCACTCTACCTGAGAACACACTAGACAGAGTGTTTGTGTGGGACCTGGACGAGACCATAATCATCTTCCACTCCCTTCTCACCGGCTCCTACGCCACCAAGTTCTCCAAGGTTAGTGGAATTGGAGTTATACTACTGTGTCAATGACATAAGTTTGTGAAAACCACTGTTCAACAGATTAAACCTAGAAGCAGGTGAAATATAACCAAAACTCAAAAATTAAGGCTTAAGTTTTAGCGAGGACCAGTGAGCAAAAGAGCCAGTAAAACCCTGAACACCCATCAGGTTAAATGGGTGGTCTATGTTCAAAACAGGAACTAATGTCTGAAGAATGTTTGCAAAATTTATTAGAATAACAGTTGATAGACTAAAAGTACTATGGAAAAATAGCTTAAATCCGTCAAGTACAGGGTGGGGCAGAGTGGACTCCCTAGTTTCAATCAGTCGCTGAAGAGCGTGCGCGCAAGTTAGTGGAGTGGGAGAGGTTTCATGTGGTGGGGGGAAAGACGCCATTGTTAGTAGTCACCATGCCGTAAACTGGCGAGCATCGTGATTTTGTAGTCGAAACGTTCTTCAAAAATAAGGATAGTGTGGTGGCGACCCAGCGTGCATTTCGTAGACAGTTTGGTTTGAATTGTCATGATAGTGTTCCCGATGCTAAAACCATAAGGGAATGGATTACAAGTGTACGGGCGACCGAATCTGCAACTGAGGTTTACAAAGTTCAACCAAGGACCTTGGAAGCCCTTAAGGAAGCAATTGTTGATGTTATCACTGGAATAATGCCAGTTATGCTGCGTAGAGTTTTTGAAAACTTCATTGAACAGCTGAATATGTGCATCGCTCGTCAAGGTCTTCACCTGGACGATATCATTTTTAAAACTTAATGAAAAATAAATGGCATTGTATTTAGATTTCAGAAATAAAAAGCTATTGTATTAATCTTGTACGAGGTGTTAGCCCGTCCTACGTACGGGAGTAGTCAGTTAAAACTGTGAATAATTCAGAACAGCTTACACGTACAAAGACAAATTTTATAGCAGCCTACAGTAGAAAGAGTAATTTTCAATTGAGAAGTGTATAGGCCTAGTCAACGATATCACCTTCCAATTCCATCGCATACCTGCCTCTTCCATAATAAATATCACCACAATGCAATTACTCATACTATACACAATTTCCAGTAGGCCTGAATAGAAACTCCCAAAAATAAAACTAAAACATCCAATCAAATTCACAGTAGGACACATAATTATAACGTTGGTGTCCTGACATCATTAAACTAATCGTCCACACATATTCTTTATATCAATTTCACTGCATCAATTGCTAAATAAATAAGTGTAAAAAAAGAAAAGTAAAAACAACAACATATAGTTTGTTTTGGTAAACAGCTGAGTCAAAAATAAAATAATATTCATTTGAACAAAAGAACTGGTCACATGTTGAAGGAATTTAAACCGTAAACACGCTAGTAAAGCTAGTGACGTAATTAATTGGCTATGTTTATTATCCATTCCGTAATCAGTTCTAATATCCTTAATAATTAAACCACCCTCATTGAATCAATGTACACCGTAATTCCCCATATTCATTTATTTAAACTATACAATATTCAGAGCCTCCAAACTTAAAAACAACTAAACACACGCCAAACAACTTTTTAGATTTCATAAAAGGATGGGTTATCTAATTGCAGTATCCTAGGTCAATGATGACGTTGTGCTCAATCTAAGACTCTTGTACAGAGCCTCGACTTGTATACATCAATGGTGTTACTTATCTCGGTGGTCTACTAATCTTACTTATTTCCTATAATCAATGACAAAATAAGAGTAAATAAAATAACCTCATAGTTCTATTGAGCATTTGTTAGCTAAAAAAACTGCTGTTAGTTAAAAGAAAATTATATTGAACTAAAACAAACCGAAGATTACAAAGATTTATTAAAAAAAATCCTTTGAACATCCTAGTATTTTACTATGTATATTTAAATAATCTGTCATCCTCTTATCGAAGGATTGAACGTATAAATGATTAGGATTACACATAGTATAAATAAGTCAACCCTTAGTATGTATTTTAATTTTATCCAAATGCTGAATTTGTGTTACAAACGCTGAATTTTTGCATCTGTTATGTTAAACAAATCATATTATACCAAAAGCTAGTTTAGAATCTTAGCGTCGGCTGCTAGACTTTTCAAAAATTAAAACTTAATTTCTGAATAACTGGGACCCTAAACTAAAATTATGGCTTCGACATTCCCTAGTTCTCAAAATTATCTTTCTTTCAACACAAAAATCATGAAAATCCGTTGAGTGGTTGATTCAGAATCGTGAAATAAAAAAACACTGTTTCGTTTTAATATTATAGATGGTTTTTATACAGTTAACCGATCAAATCAGGAACTCCACTCTGCCCCACCCTGTATAACAGCACTTGAATGTAGCTACATAATAAAATTTGTGGCAGTGATGTTATAGGACATTGTTTACTTCATCGCTATAAATGACACACATTGGTAATTGGTAGAAAGAGAAATTAAGCTAAATCATGATAAATAAAACTTCCTGTGAATTATTGTAAATTATGTTTATTGTACATTTATCTGTGCAGGACTCTCAGGCTGTGATTAACCTAGGCTTTAGGATGGAAGAGATGATATTCAACATGGCTGACATGCATCTCTTCTTCAATGACGTTGAAGTAAGTAGGGAGTCGAGTGTTGAAAAATCCTCTACAACTGATTTTGGGAGGCATGTGACTATTTAATGTGACATAGATTGATTAATTTCCTACAAAAATATATTATCAACAGTCAACACAACCATATAACCATTCATTTTGAATCCTACTACAAAATGTTCCATCTTTTTTTTAATTAGGTAGTTTCAATGTGGGTTCAATGCGAAGTTACGTTTGGGTGATTGACTAGTTGATTCAGACTTAACTTTTTTTAGATTTTGACTATGCGTGTCTTTATGAAGCTTAGAAATATAGATGCCTAAAAGACATGTCTCTAAAGCAAAATATGACTTTCTCAATAAAAAACTTCCTCCTTTAAAAACTGTACATAATGTTTAATGAGGTAGTAAACATTCCATTGTATGATTTTGTTGACCAGTTGAGTATTTTAAACTAAAAGAACAATTTCCATACCTAGCTTAAATTTATTCTTTAGTTAGTAACCTAGAAGTATATCTGATTTTTTTAATTTCCACCAGGACTGTGATCAAGTGCACATAGACGATGTCAGTTCGGATGACAACGGTCAGGACCTGAACGGCTACAACTTTGCCACAGATGGGTTCACAGCTGGTGGCGGGGGTGTAGGGGTGGGTGGACCAGTAGGTGGGGCAGGGCTGTGTCTGGGTGGGGGTGTCCGGGGCGGCGTGGACTGGATGAGGAAACTGGCCTTTCGCTACAGGAAAGTCAAAGATATCTACAACAACTACCGCAACTCTGTTGGAGGTAAGGGTGGGCTGAGAAAATATTTGTTATGTTTGGAACAGAATAAAAAAGACTGGTTTTACTCCTCATAGTGGTAAATGTCAAAGTTGTTTCCTGTAGAAGGGAACGTAAAGACGGTGACACACTATCGATCTTTTCCCCAAACAAGACCCCGAACCGAGCAGGGAGAAGGGAGAAGGGAGGTCGAAGGGAGGATGTTCGATAGTGTGTCACGGGTCCGTACACCGATCAAGACGCCGAACAAGACATCAGGCCGAGCAGGGAGACGAGCGCTCTGGAGGCGGTTTTTTGGCGAAAGATCAAAGAAAAGATCGGTCCGATGTACGGTCCGATGTACGATAGTGTGTCACGGTACATTTTTGCCCCGTACATCGTCGCGAGCGCCGCACCGAGCGGCCGCCTGTGCTAGCATTGATAGTTCTGATTTAATATGGCAATTAAACTCTTTAATTGGTAAAATAAATAAATGTTGGGTAATATGTTGCCGTTATATATTATAATCATTTAAGATGTAATGTTTTGTTGTATGTTTGGTCAAGGTTGAAAGTGTAGAAACCGTTAAATCAATTATATCAATAATATTAAGGTTGAATTAAGTAATTGATGTTGACTTAAATTCTTTCAAAAATAATATAAACATTAATATTATTAACACGTTCGCTACTGAGCGTCGCATATATGCGACGCCGCGGTCATTGCCACAGACCGAGGTATACATTTGAATCTTACACATAGACCGGCTGTCACTTGGATAACAGTACACACAGACTACGGGCGAAAACCTGTAAAACAGTGATCATTTACATTGTAATATGCTTCAATCGTGTTTGTAAATAAATTATTCTTGTTTTTTTGTATTTGTTATAACCTTTTGTGATGTCGCATATTTGCGACGCCCGGTCTACAGCGAAGACAATAGTGAAAATTATCATAGTTTTCTTGAAATAGACTAAACGTCGCATATATGCGACGGTTAATTTTTTTGTGTTTTAAGGTGAAAGTAAGTAAAATAATAAACAGATTATTCAAGAACAGTTTAAAACTGAACAAATATAAAAGCTACATAGGATAATGCAGCCTACATACTGCATACATACATACAGTGATGCAGAAAGTAAAGACCATATTTTCCAACTATTATATGACGTCACCAATTATCATATCCACAGACCAAGCGACGCAGTTGTGCGTCAGACATCTCTGTAGACCACTGCAGGGAATTCAGTGGCTTCAAATAGACCACTACAAAGATATGAGCATTTTAATAACATTAGAACCCCGACGCAAATATGCGTCGGCAGTCTATTTTAATGTGACTAGCCGTCGCATATATGCGACGGCAGTCTATGGGTGGAAATCGGCCGTCGCATATGTGCGTCGCTGGTCATGTGAATGGAAAATTTCGTATTATTGCAGTAGCGAACGTGTTAAAGGCGATTAAAATGATCATTCTGTAACGTTATTTCAATGAATAAAACCAATAGAAATCAATAGATATAACTAAGCATCCTTTCTAGAATATTTTATTTTTGCGACAAGTTTTCAAAATGCGACTTTTAACAATAATTTTTATGTTATAGAAACTTTTTGTTATAGAAACCTCCGCGCTCTCACTCGCACACACTCTCTATCTCTCTCCAAACTTCCTTTTGCCGCGCTCGGTAGAATTCGTCTGGTCTTGGTCATGTTCGGGGAAATGTTCGGAGTAAAATTTTGCTGATATTTATCTCCCTTCTCCCTTCTCCCTGCTCGGTTCGGGGTCTTGATCGGGGAAAAGATCGATAGTGTGTCACCGCCTTAAAGAGAATTTCTTTTAAAATAGCACGATTCAGAAATTAAGATAAAATTTTTGTAGTATAATATCTTGGTTAAAAACAGAACTGGAAAGATTATGAGAGTTCTAGCTTTTACTTTTAGTAAATGGTGTTAAGTAATTGTAAATTTTTTTTTTATTATTTGCTGGTAAATCTGTCTGTTCTAATATCATGTTCACAGTTCTTGAGTACTTGCTGATGTAAAATGGTTAATTAATTTGTGAACTCAAATAAGTCTTTCAGAAATGTATGGAATATGTGGGCCGTGAAACAGTGAGACTCAGCCGTTAGTTTAACAATTTGGTCGGCGTTGGCGCCAAACTCTAGATAATAATATGCACAAAGGAGGCTAGGACTTTTTAGGGGACGAAAAACGGAAGTTTTTTTACATTCAGTAAATTCTTTTTGACTGCTGGAGTAATTGACTATCATCCAGACGATGGCACTTAGTGTTATCAGTAAGCACACAATATGTAAATCTATGTTTATTTGTTGTATTAATAGACTGAGTATTGCAGGACTGCTGGGACCAGGCAAGAGGGATCAGTGGCTACAACTGAGGTCTGAGATAGAAAGTGTAACGGACAATTGGCTCACGATGGCCATCAAGTGTCTCACACTCATCAACTCCAGGTATGAAAAGACAAATAATGTTGAGAGAATCTGGGAATGGGTGAGGGTGTGTGTGTTTACTGTGCTTTTCTACCATTATAGGAACGGCTTGTTATCAACTACAGTACTTGGTTGTGCCAAGCAGGTAACCCAAGGAGAAATGCAAACAGTAAGTTAGAAAAAGTGAGCTAAAAACATCTGATAGTTACAAGCTACAGAAATTTTAACTTCTTTGACAGCCAGAAAAGAATGTTAAAGTGTTGATTCTTTAAACTTAAAATGCTAGTATATTGGACACAAAAATAACATAACCAAACTTACACTTACAACTTCTATACATGTATAGCATACCAAAAATTACTGAAATCCATACAACAATTTGCTGCATCCTGGGTGTCCAAGTTGTGCCGTGTACGTCACTGTTATATATATGCACCCAGCAAGCAGAACGTATTGGCTGAAATCACATTTAGCCTGGCTACAACCAGTATCACCAGCAAAACGCAGCAGACCAAAATGACAAAAGCCCTAACCTACTCGCTGTGGTCCTCACTCTTTAGGCTACTGTAGCCCAGCGGCAACATTTTAGGAGTTCTCAATAACCTAGATAAGTAATTAGCTAATAAGTATTTAATTATTAGGTACCGTAGTCAAGTCAGTAACATGAAATAATTAAATCTTTTGTTAGGGGTTGCCGGGGAGAAACCAGGGGCTTTAGGATGTAGTTTTCCAATTTAAAATGCATTCAGCTTGTTGAAACAGTGTCACAAATTCAAACGGTTCTAAATTGTTCAATTATTTTCTGCTGTCAATCCGAGTAATTTATTCCCAAATTACTTTACTTCAATCAAGATTTCATATTCCACAGTTAGTTCATTATTAGTTATTCATGTCAACGCAATTCTTACATTTTCAGGTAGTGGTTTGGTTATAAGGTTTTCAGGTTATAAATTAGTAAATCACTGCTCATCAAAGGGTGCAAACTTAGGGTGTTAACGGCTATGGGCACGATCAACATCAGGGAAAAACCTTTCCTTTAAAATATACAGTTACAGCCCTTCCTAATCCCTCAATCATACAATTATTTTATTAAAAATTTCCATGTCTCAACCCTCTCTATCCACCCAACCTTTCCATTATTCCACTACTGTCACAGGTCTTATGATGGACAAGCGGTCTAAGCAGGTATTGTCTCTTTGTCCAGGAGACTGTGTACTGCATATTGATGGTTTGAATCTTGTCTTGTCCAGGTCTTAAGTGAAAGTCATTCGGTTCATGAGTTCTCCAATCTATGTCAGATGCCCACTTAAAATTAACTGCTTTGGTAGAATCTATTTGAGTTCCACCTCAAAAAGGCATTTTGCTAATTCTTAACTACCCTTTGTTTGTTTTTAAGTAAAACTTGTTTAAAAAGATTAAAATTTTTGCGCCCATAAGACGAGGAAGAAATATTATTAGGTGTGAACATTATTGGCTGTAGAAGTTTAGTTAATGATGTTAAAAATATAATTTATATCGGCTTTGAAAGAGGTTTATAATTAAATGTATTCTGTTGCAGGCCGAGTAATGTAAATGTGCTGGTCACAACTACACAGCTTGTCCCAGCCCTTGCCAAAGTCCTGCTCTTCGGTCTTGGCGGAATCTTTCCTATTGAGAATATATATTCTGCCACCAAGATTGGTAAGAATTGTATGCGTGCAAATAAAAAATGAAACCGATGTTAACTATTCTATAAAATAGTCCAGCAATTGTTATTATGTTGGTGTAAAAATATGTGGTTCAGGCAAGTCATTTGTATGAGTTATTTTATTTCACAAAATTATTTCTAGTGTGGATAAATGAATATACCAATGACAAAAAACACAGTCTGTGGGGTAGAAAGGTGCTCAACTAATTTTAATTCAGTTAATGAATTAATCTATCTTCTTGTGATTCATTGACTGTAACTTTTCAAGTGGTCATTATGATTAATTTGGATCACTTACTTTCTCCGAAATATGTTAATTTAATATTAGAGTTAACCTTGGTAGATGAACCATTCAATTTTCTACATTAAAAGGATTTTGAGAGAACAAAAAGAAACCATTCAACAATACTGCTTTTCTGTTGTTGTAGCTAAGTTTTAAAATTAATGTCTTTTCCTAGTTTAAATTAGTCATCTTTAGTGTTTAAAGATTTGTAGAAGTTAAAAGTGAACTTAATTTCTGAAGTAATGAACTATGATCTTCTGTTTTCAGGGAAAGAAAGTTGTTTTGAGCGTATTGTAGCCAGGTTTGGACGAAAGTGTACATATGTGGTCGTCGGAGATGGACAGGACGAGGAGCAAGCTGCCAAAACTGTGAGTTGACAATTGATCAAGAAATATTTTTCTTTAGTTCAGATTAATAATTAATTATATTTTACATCAAGCAAAAAAAAAAAAAACAGCTGTATTCAGTACTAACTACTTACTACTTACGTTGCATGGCTAAAGTACTTTTTATCCGTAGGGCAAAGTGAATTAGCTGGAATTGAGGAAATAATTTTTTATCAAAATTAATATGTTATGTTCCGTTAATTCTAAAAAAAATAGTACAACACCCCATTGCTGTAACAAGTACGGTTCAAAATTTATTGCAACCTTTGTGATTTTTAACTATAAAATATCATGTTTACTGTTACCGCTTACCCATGATAAAGGTTGTTGACGAGCTTATCGGAGAAAGTATGTGTCAGAATGCTGATACCGTTTATTTTCTGGTATTGCGAAAGTAAAGAGTTCTGATGAATAAAACGGCCCAAGCTGTTTTTTACTCGAAGACAAACTAAGCTGCCAACTGTTAATCAAAATGAAGTTTGGCTAGTAAAATAAGTGAACAATCTGAAAATTGGCTATTTATTTGAGAAATTTTAAGTACAATTTTGAGCACTGTAAAATTATTTGTAACTACTTTAGACTATAATTAAATCTATATTTGAAAGAACTTGAGTGATGATATGTTTCAGATGAACTTTCCGTTCTGGAGGATATCTTCGCACAGTGATCTCGCAGCTCTATACAACGCACTAGATATGGGCTTCCTCTAACACCAGTCTTGTACATACCTACCAATCTACCTGTACAGAATCACATAAATGAATTATCCTCATTTACATATTATATAGATGTGTACATTTTGTAGAACAAGTGGAATATATATATAATTTAAGGTATGTAACTGTTTTGTATTCACTACCCTTACGAATTCTTTCCTTCTCCCTAAAATATTTAATCACACTTTTGTGTTTAGTCAAAACGTTAAAACAAAGACGAGATAATTTTTAGTTTTCAAAGTAATAAAACTCAGTGAATTGTTGGAAAAAAAACAAACTCAATAAATATGAGAAAAATTAACCCTTGCGCCCGGTGTTCAGGCATTCGTGAAAATACCATTTTTAAGTTGGCTTCCAATCTTCAATTTAAGCCTTCTCATAAATGTTTTGTATTATATGTCAACTTACGTTATGGATTCCTTGTTCATATCAATCGAGAAAATGTTATAACATTTTAATAGAGTTGTATTTTTTATGTTCTAGTTATAATAATTGGAAAATGGGTAAGCAAAACAACAATAACAATAATAAAAAAAAATATCATTCGTGATTAGTTTGTGATGGGATGGTCTTGTGATGGGATGGCAAAAAGGTACACATTATGTTTTGAAAAACTTGAGCTAAAATTCTTACAAATGGCAACAATGACAAATAAAATCAATTGTTTTTACACTACTGTTAAATCACCTGATTTCATAAAAGAATGTACAGTATACAGTATATTAAAAAGAGTCTATAGAAGAGCATTGTATTAATAAACGTGATAACTGGTCTCAAACCTTTCCCACGAGAACAGTTGTTTCAGTACCGCCCACTTCCTGCAGATCTAGTGCGGTTAAACCGATGTGCTAATAAAAATTGTCCGGTTAAAGAGAAAAGACGAAAGAAGAAGAAAGACGAGGAGAAAAATCAATAGCCAGAATAAACTACACAGCAGAACAACATTAGAAGAGATAAAAGAGGAAAATACCAGATATGTCTCAGTCCCCAATTTGTGTTGTAGTCCCCATGTTAGCTACATGTCTTTTGTAAAATGTAGCTAACATGGGGACTACAACACAAATTGGGGACTGATTCAAGGATTACGGAGTTTCAATAGCCTACAGGACTCAGAACACCATTAGTAAAATACTGCATAAAAAAATAAAAGATTCTATCAAATTTGATGCTTCAGGCATCTACAAAATCAATTGTAATGATTGTGACAACTTCTACATTGGACAGACTGTGAACTTCGTCAACCGCTTCAAAAACCACATATCTGCATGGAGGAACAACAAACCGGAAAGATCAAATGTCGCACAACACCTGTTACAAAATGGACACTCAATAGGAAAAATGGAGGATAATCTATGTATTTTAAAGAATTGTAAGAAAGGATATGTAATGAGTGCTTGGGTAGAATTGTACATTTTTAAGGAAAAATGTAAAAATAGAAATAAGCTGATTAATGAACAAGTAAATTTTGACTCCAGTTGTACTTATAAAAAAGAACTATTCACCTGTAGAAGGAATTTGAAAAGGTAATCATGCTAGTAAGCTAGGGACGTAACTTGTCTATGTTTTATTTATGCCGTTATCAGTTCTAATATCCACAATAATTACCCATCCTCATTGAATGAATATACAACGTAATTTCCCATATTCGTTTATTCAAACTATAAGATATTATATCTTATAAGATATTTATCATTTAGTTTAAATAAAAGTGATATGTTGCCTATATCAACGAACCCAAACATACGCCAAACAACGTTTTAGATTTTACAAAAGGATACCTAGTAAGTCTACTTGCAGTATCCTAGGTCCTAGTTCAATGATAACATTGTGTTTAATCTCTGTTATCCATCTGTTTATTTCTTGATAAAACCCATCAGAGGTTGTGGTAGTAATAATCGCGATTCCTGATTATCCTTGATCTCCTTGTTTGATAACATCAATATTTTCAGGCCCAATCCAAACAAAGTTTAAGCAGTCAAACATTTATTGTAAACAAAAAAAGCTGCCAAGATGAATTAAAACATGTAAACATTGTTATTTAATGTTTACTACTCTTCCCTTAAAAAGTCTAGCAGGAAAATAATTTGCATAGGCTTTTCTTTGAGAACTTGTGGGCAGAGCCACGAGTTGTATACAGCAAAGGTCTTGCTTATCTCTGTGGTCTACTCATCCCTACTCTCTACTAATCTTAGTTATTTGTTTTAAAATAACGCCTGTAATACTTAGCAATTGCTCAAATTCGAGCAACATGGACACTAGTTTCCTATAATCAACGACAAAATTATAGATTAAATAAAATAACCTCATAGTTCTATATGGGATATTTTTATATCCATCCAGCTGTTAGTTCAAACAAACTATATTGCACTAAAACAAACCCAAGATTTTAAAGACTGTTCTAAAACATAAATTAGAACATTTAGTATCTTACTATCTATCTATAATATTAAAACGAAACAGTGTTTTTTTATTTCACGATTCCGAATCAACCACTCGACGGATTTTCACGATTTTTGTGTTGAAAGAAAGACAATTTTGAGAACTAGGGAATGTCGAAGCCATAAATTTAGTTTAGGGTCCCAGTTTTTTAGAAATTAAGTTTTAATTTTTTTAAAGTCTAGCAGCCGACGCTAAGATTCTAAACTAGCTTTTGGCATAAAATAATTTGCTTAACATAATAGCTGTAAACATTCAGCTTTTGTGTCACAAATTCAGCATTTGGATAAAAATGTAAAGACATACTTAGGGTTGACTTATTTATACTATGTGTAATGCAAATCATTGATACGTTCAATTCTTCTGTAAGAGGATGACAGATTAATCCTATACTCTAATACGAGCAATGTTTGCTTGTATGCTTGCTTGCTTGCTTGCTTGCTTGCTTGCTTGCTTGCAGAAAGATCTCGAAAACGGCTCCGACGATTTTCTTCAAATCTTGTAAATAGTTTATTTTTGGCCTAAAAACGAGTTTCATGCAGTTAGAACTGCCAACAAAAATCTAATTACGTAGAAAAATGAAACTGAAAATCACATTTTTTTAACATTAGTCTTATGGGTTGCTAGGTAACCATGTTGGATGAATTAAATAACAAGGATAAAGTAAACAAAAGACTTGAAGTTGTAGCATGTGTTCATAGTAAGCCAACTACCCACAGTATACTAGCAAATTACAAATACAGTACAAAAGGAAAACATCACTTAATAATTAGCATAATATTTAGCAAAGATTATACTGAAGATTACTCGATACATTGTAGGGAGTATGTTTTATAGTCTATGGTTTTATCTATGATTGTAGTCAAGGGCAGCAGTGCGAAGTCTGGGATCTGTTTATGACGATTAGATTAGATTAAGGTATCTGCAATCCTAAAATGCTATGGGAAGGGAAGGAAACAGGTCCGCGACATAGGAAGTGGTGAAGGAAGTAATAAAGGCAATCATAAAATGCTATGGGAATAGAGGGAAACAGGTCCGTGACGTAGGGAGTGATGAAGGAAGTAGTCAAGGCGAGCAGTCCGGAGTGTGGGGAATGTTTATGACGATAAGATTAGGGTATCTGCAATCCTAAAATGCTATGGGAAGGAAGGAAAACAGGTCCGCGACGTAGGAAGTGGTGAAGGAAGTAGTCAAGGCGAGTAGTCCGGATTGTGGGAACTGTTTATGACGATTAGATTAAGGTGTCCGCAATCTTAAAATGCTATGGAAAGGAAGGAAAACAGGTCCGCGACATAGGAAGTGGTGAAGGAAGTAGTCAAGGCGAGCTGTCCGGAGTGTGGGAACTGTTTATGACGATTAGATAAGGGTATGGGCAATCCTAAAATGCTACGGGAAGGGAGGGAAACAGGTCCGCGACATAGGAAGTGGTGAAGGAATTAGTCAAGGCGAGCTGTCCGGAATGTGGGAACTGTTTATGACGATTAGATAAGGATATGGGCAATCCTAAAATGCTATGGGAAGGGAGGGAAACAGGTCCGCGACGTAGGAAGTGGTGAAGGAAGTAGTCAAGGCGAGCTGTCCGGAGTGTGGGAACTGTTTATGACGATTAGATAAGGGTATGGGCAATCCTAAAATGCTATGGGAAGGGAGGGAAACAGATCCGCGACGTAGGAAGTGGTGAAGGAAGTAACAAAGGCAATCATAAAATGCTATGGGAATAGAGGGAAACAGGTCCGTGACGTAGGAAGTGATGAAGGAAGTAGTGAAGGCGATCAGTCCGGAGTGTGGGGAATGTTTATGACGATAAGATTAGGGTATCTGCAATCCTAAAATGCTATGGGAAGGAAGGAAAACAGGTCCGCGACGTAGGAAGTGGTGAAGGAAGTAGTCAAGGCGAGTAGTCCGGATTGTGGGAACTTTTTATGACGATTAGATTAAGGTGTCCGCAATCTTAAAATGCTATGGAAAGGAAGGAAAACAGGTCCGCGACATAGGAAGTGGTGAAGGAAGTAGTCAAGGCGAGCTGTCCGGAGTGTGGGAACTGTTTATGACGATTAGATAAGGGTATGGGCAATCCTAAAATGCTACGGGAAGGGAGGGAAACAGGTCCGCGACATAGGAAGTGGTGAAGGAATTAGTCAAGGCGAGCTGTCCGGAATGTGGGAACTGTTTATGACGATTAGATAAGGATATGGGCAATCCTAAAATGCTATGGGAAGGGAGGGAAACAGGTCCGCGACGTAGGAAGTGGTGAAGGAAGTAGTCAAGGCGAGCTGTCCGGAGTGTGGGAACTGTTTATGACGATTAGATAAGGGTATGGGCAATCCTAAAATGCTATGGGAAGGGAGGGAAACAGATCCGCGACGTAGGAAGTGGTGAAGGAAGTAACAAAGGCAATCATAAAATGCTATGGGAATAGAGGGAAACAGGTCCGTGACGTAGGAAGTGATGAAGGAAGTAGTGAAGGCGATCAGTCCGGAGTGTGGGGAATGTTTATGACGATAAGATTAGGGTATCTGCAATCCTAAAATGCTATGGGAAGGAAGGAAAACAGGTCCGCGACGTAGGAAGTGGTGAAGGAAGTAGTCAAGGCGAGTAGTCCGTAGTGTGGGAACTTTTTATGACGATTAGATTAAGGTGTCCGCAATCTTAAAATGCTATGGAAAGGAAGGAAAACAGGTCCG